TGGTTATTGCTGTCATCGTCATCTGCAGTATCACGGTTAAAGACTGCGTACAAAGATTAATGATGCCTGACGCGTTGATTTCTCAGAATGATTTCGGCGATGTTGGCCTTGCTGCGGCACAGGTCATGTTCCTCGTCAGAAGCAAGTTCGCTTCTAGCTGCTGCTTTAAAGCGCTGTTGATGTTGGCCTTCGAGGTTCCTGCGGCAATTTTTTGCTTCCCAGAGGAAAGTAATTTTGGATAAGTCTCCATTTTCTCTCCGGATAGTTCTATCTAACAACGACGCTGGTTCATGATTTCTACGGAAAAATGAAATGACGTGATTGAAAAGATGAACCCTGGCGACCTCAGGTATGAGAGCATTGCGTTGTTGCGGTTTTGGGCAAACAATGGACTGGCTCTTCCGAACATCTTCTTCGAGCATTGAGGCGTGTAAGTAAGACCTCGTACAGAGAAACTTGTGCACAGATGCCAATTATTCGTTTAACATCCGCATCGTGTAAATTAAGATGCTGTGTTATGAATATTCACCTTGTTGTTGGCATTCTCCGGTTGAGTACCATGTGAAATTACAGAATCAAATGAAAAACTATCTTCTGAGGTTAATAATAACGCAAAATTTGCAAATACTGCCACAGCGGTTTAAGCAGATCCTTGTGGTGATCGCTAATTTTGTAACCGAATGGGAGCTCTTTAAGAGCGGGCTGTGGCTGATTGTTGTGGCTTAAAAATGATTGACCTTCCATTGTGAAGTAAGAGTCTAAACTTATTGGAGGAGTGAGATTTCCAACTGCCTCTTGGTGCGAAAAAGGCTGTATTCAAGAAATGGCGTGGAGGCAAAGAGCCTTCAATTCAATCAGAGTACAAAGAAATGCGCAAGGTGGAAACACAATGGTCAAAAAGCTGATTCCTGAGGAAAGCTCAGTGAGGGGTTGAAATTGATTTTCCAAAGAACAAACGAGGTACTGTGGAAGACTTCCCGCCGTTTCCGACAGAGAAAGAGCACTTCAAGAGTACTGAAAGATACATTTGGAC